CGCGGTACAAAAGTAATTAACTACTGTAATGCATTGCTTTTTGCTGTAATGTGGTAATGTAAGGCATTACAGGGAAAGAAAATGGTATTTAGTCGGTACAATTGTCAGTAACGCGGTAATTACAATGTATTTTTAAACCCAGAATCAAGATGCGGGCTTCCTAAAAATTAAAATTGCGGGAAGCCTGAAAAAAGATCCAGTATCTGCATATATGACGTCATTTATGGACTCAGCGTTGCGGGCATTCTATGAGCAGAGAGGACGCAGCGGTGACGGCTCAAATACTCCAGCTGCGTTCTGCGCGCGGCCGCTGTTATATTCACAAAATCGCTCCACCAAGACAAAGTAATTCGTGTGCGGTCGTTTATATCCGCCCATATTCTCTGGTACTTCATGTACTTTTCAGCTGAGTTCATAATCTGTGCCCCGGTGATTTCAACTCATTGCTGCAGGAGCGCAGCGCATATCAAGCTTTTTTATTTTTTGTGTTCGGTAGATCCCTTTGGCTGATTAGTTAGAAAGTAGAACATCTAGGAAACAGTTTTTCTGGAAGACGGAGAAAACATGCAGCATGCATGAAGGTTAGAGAGAGAAAGGGCAGGAAATTATTCAAATAAAATCAAGAAAACAAAACAAAGAGCTTGCAAAGAAAAAAGTAGGTAGATTTATCCCCAGTACACATTTTACCAGTGAAAAGCAATAATATATAAGCATTTAATATTTATACATGTGATAGAATCAGATCACCCCAGAAGTCAGTCCCACATCCAGGGCCGTATCAAGGCATTTGGGGACCAAGGCAAATATAGGCTCGGAGCCCCCACCACCTCACTCCCTGCTCAGTAAATATAAGATGCAGCGTGCTGAGAGTACAGATTGTTGTTGCTTTTATTTAATAAACAATCATTTTAAAGCACTGTTATTATATCTGACTGTTTTTAACAGCAACCCTAGCTCAGACACCACATCACCTTCCACATATATGTCATGAGCTCACTGAGCGTCACATGACCAGATTCATATTGAAGTTGTTTTGGTGAAAGTAACTTAAAGTAATGCCAAAGTAGTGTAATGCCTTACATTTTAAAATCAGTAATATTGTAATGTAATTAATTACTTTAAAATGCGGGTAACAAGTAATAATAATGCATTACAGTTTTGAAGTAACTTGCCCAACACTGTTTCCAAGTGATGTCTATCAGTCTTTGTCAGACACGTGACCTCCATGTCAGCCACACCCCCTTGGCGCCATTTTAGGTGTATGACTCGCGTTGCTAGGGGAAGCCGCAGCTGAAGTTGAAGCAGCACAAGAGTCAAAAGCATGGATATGAAGAACAAGGATGCATTCCTTACAGCAGGGGTGTCGAACTCAAATTCACACCGGGCCAAAATGAAAACCTGGGACGAAGTCGCGAGCCGAACTCAATATTTTTTTAAAAGTGACGGTAAATGTGCACGCTTTCCTTTATCTACAGATATGAACGGTTGAACCTTTTCATTTGGAAACAAACTTATTTTTGCAGTAACACTGTGTGGGGAAACAGTTTTACTTTCTCTCCTCTGCCTGAGCTGATGGTGACGCGCGGCGCGCCTCAAATGCGGCCCTTGATGGAGCTCGTGCCAGACCGTGGATGACTGATGTTAGAGGACACACAGATATCTTTTCAAAAATCTCTGAGATTTCGACTAATGAATACCTGGAAATTTTACCGGTATGCACTGTACCCTAGAAAAAGTACTGGCATGCTAAAAGGTTGTATTTAGAAGTGGCGGCGGTGCTGGTACCGGTCCAATGCACTGCTCTCTGTCCCTAAAGGATGAGTCTGATGATCTGATCATCAGAACCTGATCATAAGGATCCGTTTCTGGCAGCCGCTGTTTCTCCCTCCCCAACCCACCCCACGTGCCCAGCATTGCGCGCTGCGCGATAATTAAACTGGCCCAAAAACTCCACCCTAAACCGGTTCTCCCACCGGGAGCCTGCACATGCATCTGTGGCCAGAGCTTTCTTCTTTTTCAATCTCTCCTTTTCTGCTCCACCTCTCCTGGTCCGTCTAGGTCCATTTGCCTCTGGGTCGAAGGTGCGGTGGTGCTGTAGCCGCTCTGGGGTGGTGGGTGTCTGCTGCGCTTTGCCAGACCCCGACACCGTGAGAGGAGAGGGTGTCTTTGTGCCCAGTTTGCTCTGTTTGTGTGAGCATCAGGACAGCAGATGCCCTGATGAGCTGCATGACGGATTAGATATTACACGCCATGACCGGCAATCGGTGAGCGAGCCAGTTTAACGGCCAGGCCACCAGGAAATCTTCCGTTTCTCCCGATTACCAGTCCGCCACTGAAGAGGCGTGTTAACTTAGAGAATGTGGGTGGAATTTTAATGACTTGTCTAAACATCGTAGCTCATCCCCACCAGCGTGTGAATGGGTGAATGACTGATTAAGTTGTAAAGCGCCTTGGGGGGTCCATGACCCTAGAAGGCGCTATATCAAATACAGGCCATTTACCAATACCTGCAGGCAGAGGTCGCGCTAGACGTGTTTGTTGACTTTTTGACCGACCGTTAAAAAACAGTCATGATCGTTTCCTCCCGTGATTTTCATTTCTCAAACATAATAAATAAAAATCCACTCATTTATTTTCATTTGTTTTTCATTAATACTTAGTCTAAGCAAGCTGGCCAGCGTGTCCAGCAACATACGGTATTAATGCTACAATTAAAGACGTTCACTTAAAGCAGGAACATTTTGCCTGCTGTGTTGTGGTTCGGCTGCTGGGCTGTGACCCGCAGGCGCGTCCAGAGCTGCTGATCATGGTGACTACGTCTGAGATAGTGCTCAGATGTTCTGAGGGGAATCTTTTCTTGATAGATCTTGCTACCTCCTTGCTGTTCTCTGTGCGTAACGTTTAAATCACTTAATGCGATCCCTGCCTACAGGCAGCCCTTCACACAACACGAGTGTCCTGTTTTCTGCAGGTTTATGAGCTCTCAACAAGTCAAGCCGACCAACACTTCCGTTGTTTAGACACCTAGCTATCCCAACATGCAACGTGCTACAGCACCCGGCTCATTTTTCAATATTTCACAACAAAACTGAACAAAGATGTAAATTTCTACCCTAAATGATTCTTTTTTAAATGCATTTGATGATATGCAAGAAAGCCATTTATATTACAGGGTATCCGCAGGTCCTTAAATAGTCTTAAAAAGCCTTAAATTAGCTTTTCCTAATTTAAGGCCTTAAAAGTCCTTAAAAATGACAAATAATCCTTAAATCCAATTTCCAAAGGTCTTAAATGACCAAAGACCCAATAAACAAGATTCTTTTATTTTTATAAAAATTTCGTGAATTTCTAGTTAGTGTTCAGCATTTTTTGTGTACGATGTTGGCGTAAGCGGAACCGTACGCAGTCAGTTGGTTGTGAAAGGGGGCTATTTTTAGATGAGCACATTAGCTGGTTAAGCTAGTGGGAGCTTGCGCCATGGGGAAGGGCAAGTTTAATGGTAACTGGATGGCTAGTCCCACGTTTGCGGCTCCAGGCAATAGCTAGAAATTATCGCTTAGATTTAATTTTTAAAATAGCTTAAATTTGGTCAAAGTGGTCTTAAAAAAGGTCTTAAAAAGTCTTAAATTTGGCTCCCTTAAATCTGCAGATACCCTGTATTAAACTAAACATGTAACGATCTACTGCTAATAATAATAATACACATTACAAACAACGGCCATTATAATAATGCTGGAGAGCCTTCTGAGAAAGGTGTTTGAAGAAGTCTTTGAAGAGACCGCAAGAACCAATGAGGGACTATGAGGGACAAACCCAGGTGAGAAAACACGAAGAACTAATCCGTTTTTTATCTCACTGTCAGCAGAGTCCAGGCTCCTGGAGCCCACTCTGTGTCCACAAGATACCGGATGTTCCTCTGACACAGGCGTCTGCTGAGAAGGTAAATATTAGCAAAGTCTGAATGAACACCCCTTCATCCTGAATACAGATGGACCCTTTAAGGTGCAGGACCTGCTAATGCTGTCTCCCAGAGTCGTGTGCATGTGTGTGTGTTTTTAGAGATGGTTGAAAGTCACACACTTTTTTTGCACGCCCACATAGTTAACCATTAAAAACCATGTAAAAAAGCTCTTTACATTCATGTAAGGAAAAGGGCTGCATTTCAAACAATAATACCACAGTTGTGGACGTGAAGGTTTTCGGGTGGGTTGCAGAAGAACGTCGAATCGAGGCTTCATTTGAACCACGAGACAGGGACAGCTATGACCTCGTGTGTTCACCACAACGCCAGCAGCTTCGTACAAACCACTGACGTGTCTCTGATTAAAGCGGGAGCCCCGTCGTTACTAACAGATCTGCAGAATCAGACCTCGTTCAGCTTTTACTAACAGACGAGGCTGTGTGCTACAGCCTGTTTTACTGACCGTTACATGCTCTCATTAAAGCTGTCTGGACTTCTAACATCCAGCACAGCACAGTTCAGCAGAGCAACGTGTCCACCAGAAGGCATGCTGTTAGTTCTCAAAGCCAAAACGGGGTTTTTAGGAAACTCCTTTACTCACCCCTGCATACCCGTCCAGACCTGAGGGATTATTCAACAGATTATTCTAGTTCTAGGGTGTTCAGCGGCTTCAGCCTGACGTCATATAGAGGTCTGGGTAAGTAAAGGAGATTGAAACCCTCATTACCGTCCATCATCATCATCATTTGACATCAGAGATACTCAGTAAACCCTCTATCAAAATAAACCAGTGAGGAACAAGATTAGCAGTCATTAGTGGGACGACGGATTATGCTGATATGAGCCTGGCTGGGACGCGGCCACACTGGACCTCCTGAACCGTTGTGCCTCCACCCCGGGCTCCAGGGTGATTTCAGTGGTCTTTGCTGCAGAGCTTATGAACAGTCTACTCCCCACCCAACCAAGTCTGAGAGCTGCTTCTAGACACTGTTTTCCTCTGCGTCCATCACTGATCCTCCACACCACAAAGCAGACTTAC